TGCTTTTTATTGCCACTTTATCACAACATCCAGGAAAGTAAAAAAAGCTGTTATCCACCTGTTTCTAGCATAGAAATTGGCAATACATATGCAAAGGTAACATCTTTACAAAATTTATTAAATCACACGATTAATAGAATTTTATTAATTGAGTCAGTATATAAGTCTGGATTACAAAAGTTAGTTTTATATAGTAATTGGGGGTGTGATGGCTCATCTGGACAAAGCGAATACAAGCAAGTACTACCTGAAGAGTCTAATGTGTTATGTGATGCTAATTTGTTCATAGCTTCATTTGTACCTATTAGATTAATTGACGAAGAAACTGGTAAGGTAGTGTGGCAAAATCCTGTTCCCTCTTCTGTGCGGTTCTGTCGACCAATTTCAATTGAGTTTTCTAAAGAGACTACCGAGAAAACGAAATCCGTTGTGGATGGTATACAAAGTCAAATTGATAGTTTGAGTCCATCGGTAATTACAAAGCAAGGAAAAGCAATACAAATCAAACATGACATGTTTCTCACCATGATAGATGGAAAAGTTGCCCAAACAATAACAGGTACACCTTCATGTTCCACGTGCACTATTTGCGGTGCTAATCCACGGCAAATGAATAATTTAGAAAAGGTGGCAGCACGACCAGAAAATGATAATGCATTTCGCTATGGATTATCAACGCTACATGCCTGGATACGTTGCATGGAGATGATTTTGCACATATCATATAATCTACCCTTCCGAAAGTGGTCAGCTACTACCGAAGAAAATAAACAATTAAAAAAAGATAAGAAAGCTTTGGTCCAGGCACGATTCGGCAAAGAGCTTGGTTTGATTATTGATAAGCCAAAGCAAATAAGTGGTAATACAAACGATGGAAATACTGCTAGAAGATTTTTTTGTAATGCTTCTTCTTCGGCAGAAATTACCGGTGTCGACGAAATATTGATTAAGCGATTTTATATAATTCTTCAGGCGTTGACATCGGGTGTTATGGTAGATCCAGATAAATTTGGAGAATATGCGACGGAAACGGCAAAAATATACATTAAAAATTATGACTGGTATTACATGCCATCTTCAGTACATAAAATATTAATTCATGGTGAACGTATCATACGACATTTTGCAATTTTACCTATTGGACAGCTATCAGAAGATGCACAGGAATCTCGAAATAAAGATTACAAAAAATTTAGACTACATCACGCACGAAAATGTTCTAGATATGCTACAAACGAAGATGTATTTCATACACTCCTTTATACATCAGATCCATACATAACAAATATTAGAAATCAGTGCATTAAAAATGTAAAGAAACTTGATGAAGAAACCCTAGCTCTTTTAACACAGCATCACCTGGTTTCTGAAAATTAAATTGAATAAGTTGAACAGCGTCAGGCAATGATGGAATAGTGGACGAGTTAAACGTTATTATATGTATATTGTACATTGTATTATAATATTTATATCTCAGATAGACTGTTAGGGTTTTGTTCAAAAATAATATTACTCTGCAATATCAGTAATATTCATAAAAAAATAATAAAATATACATATAATTGTGTATACCTATAATTATGTACATATAAAATTGTTTAACATATTTTAATCCTGTTTTTAGGAGGTGACATTAAATGAAAAATATAAAAAGATACATTCTATCAACCAATAATGCAGTTTTTGTATATTTTTTTCTTAAATTGCATAATAATAATAAAACTACAGTGCTCTACACTCGACTTTCTCACATTTTTATACGACTGAAAAATAAATGTTTGGAAAAATACTTTTAAAAAAGGCACTAAATTCAAAATAATTGTAGAATTTACTTTATTTTAACTCATATATGTAAAATTGTATGTGGAGGTGATTTGTTAAGTAAAATACTACTTTCGGTTTCATGATTTCAATGTAATTTTTTATCTATACATTTTTCATATAAAGGCTTATACAAAATATTAATATTTTTTTTTACTTAGTACCAGTTTATATGAAACAAATGGGTACAGGTTCAGGTAAAGTACTACTTTCGGTTATGTGAGGTGGTAGGAATTTTGTATCTGAAAGTTACTCATTCTTATTCAGATTTATACAATATTTTATCTGATAATCTCTATTTAAAGTGCAAGTTATATGAAAATTTATATGAAGCAGTTTCTAAATCTATTAAAGTAAACTGCTACTTCGTAATTTGTCGCAAAAGTTGGTAGAGATCAACTGTCTTAATTTAATAGCCGTATACCAAATTTCATCGAAGTAGATGATTGGGTCTTTGAGTTATCATGTTTACAAACGCACGTGTATAGTACATACTGTATACTAACACATATACAAATGTAATGCTAAAATGGTCAAAATAGATTCTAGGACCATCAAATGTAAAGATTTATCAAAACCTCGAAGCGGATATTTCGTGATTACAATAGTTTGTCTTATAGTTCGTACATATGAGGAAATAAAAATAATAATAAATAATAAAAAATAATAATAAAAAGAAAATTGGTACTCTTACTTCCTGTAATGTAGAATATTCGTACAAAGTTTGAAAGGTTTACCTTTAAAAACAAAAAAGTTATTGATTTTTGATCAGCAAACGGACTAAATTTTTCATAGTGCGACGGTCAGATTCTATGTCTGTCCCAAGCTCCGCTCTGTACTAAAATTCTCATTGTGTAGAGTCTTAACTGTCCTTATTAATAATAATAATAATAATATGCCGCTTGGGTGTAGTTGTGGATTGGGAGTTGTCCATTGTCCAATATTTTTTGGTATTTTTGGACCAAACCTCCTTCTCTTCTCAGCAGGAAGGCAGTGCATAGAAGAACTTTTTATACAGCCAGTGATTGTTCGCATGGTGGAGTTTAGTTGGGCATCCGAGTTGTCGACTATTTAGCCAGACGACTGAGCAGTATTCGGCAGAGCTATAAACAAAATCTATAGTACTGCCGAATATATTCTGTTTCTACATTCTGTTTATTTTTTCCAGATGTGAGGGATCCGTTCAATGTCACACCCAGCTATTTTGAAGTGGAGTTATACGCTACATGGTGACCACCAAACCGAATGTCCAGCTGATGTGTAGCCTCGTTATTATTGAGGTGGAAACATATGCACTTTGTTTTGTATGGATTATGTGTCAATCTCCATTTTCTATAATACCCCCCATTACATTAGATCACTGGTCAGAATTTCTTCTCCACGCTGTTGTGACTCACAGCCAAGGCTAAATCATCTGCGTATGCGAATTTTAGGCTAGTAGTAACCTAGTGTTTAATATTTTTGTGTGGCTTTGTCCCAAAATGACCAGGAAGGATCTATTGCCGAGTATGTTACTCAACAGTAAGTCCAGTATCTTACAAGGAATTAGGAACTTAACGAGCAGCCCTTCCTTCCATGTGGTATCGTAGATCGCTGTTAGATTCACAAAGGCAGACGTCCTTTCCCGGTTTTGAAAGCCAACCTCGATATAATAATATACAGGGTGCTGCAACAAACTTTAAGGGGTGATTCTTTAGTGAATTTTAAGGGTACTTTGATATATGAACCATGGGCGACTTCGGCTCCAAAAATGGCGGAAAATTTTGGTTTAATTTTTTTTTCTCAAAAACCATAAACGCTAGGAAACTGAAATTTGGGGAATATGTTTAACTCATAATAGGGCACATTTTGACCCTATTTGTACTTTCAACCTACCCTTCTAAACTACTAAACGTAACCACCCCCTTTGTATTTTTGCAAAAATTTTTGTTATGCAGATGATAAATACATTAGAAAAATTTTACATAGATAGATGAAAGTATTCTAAAACTTTTTTGTCTCTCTGAAATTTTTCCAAAAACGACTAATTTTTGAGAAAAAAAATAGTAAAGCAAACACTGCCCGTTAAACAACGGGGTTGTCGATCAAAAGTTGGAATGAATTTTGAATGAAAAAATCTTAGTAGGCTTTGCAATCTTTGTCAGAAATATTTTTGACGTTTAAATGTCAGTTTTTTTTACTATTATCATTGTTTTTCAAATTAATTTATGAACAAAGTTCTACCGCATTTACGCTCGTTCACTCGACGTTTCAAAATTTTAAATAAAACAATAATAACAGTAA